TTTCCGATCGTTCGGACAATGTAGCTAGTCTCGCTGTCATTTTTAAGTCACTAAGGCTTTCCTCATTCAGAAATCAGTTGCTCTTTGAGTCTCGACATTGATAGACTGCCAAATTTTCGATTTCTGCCAGCCATTTTTTCCGAAAATATATAGCAGATAATTGGTAAACAGGCGAACATCTACTGCTATCAGGATAATGCCATATGAAAGGTACCTACAGCGCAGCTAAAAAGCTTCTTCAGAAGCTGCCTTCACGCTCTTCGCTGGAAAACTAGAGAAACTGTACCAATGAGAATTCGAAATCTCGCCAAAAGGAGACACCAAAAAGAAAGCAAATTAATCACAGGTATAAGCCAGCTATGTGGACAAGGCAATAGAATAATTATTGAAACACAAGGAGTCTCGTTCCATCCCATTAGACTGACCTATAGTATTGCAGATGAGCAAAAACCGACACTGTTCCACGGGACAGAATGGTTAATACTCAACATTCCGCGTGACTGTCTAAAAGTGGATTCACTCGAGAATCCATTATATGAGCAAACTAATGGCGCGTTGTTTTGTGCTGGGCAAAATACAGCTGCCTTGTCTCGACACTCACTGAACCTTCCCTTACTTCATCCAAATGTACTCAGCGTCGCTGTTTCTTAAACTCCCGTTTTTGTTTCGCTTGACCACTATGCTTTTTTTTCTGTCGTATTGCTCTTTCTATATAAGCATGACTGAATTCATTTCTTCTTTGATCATGTCTTTTCGTCCAGCTCCATTCTCTTCCTTTCACTTCTTTCTTCGACTCTCAGTTGTCTCGCTTACAATGAGACTTTTTAATAGGAAACAATAATCCATCACTGATATGGCAAACAGTGCCACAGTGCAATTCAACTGTGTAAAAGGTACATAAATGAATTCAGCCAAATTCGATGGAGGCTACAGTATGACTTGTTAAGAGCTCAAAAAAATCCTAACTTATTTGGAATGACACCTTAACTGACACTCACAGCCTGACTGTTACTTTTTTATTGAAAGCAAAACTCACGGATGCTTTCAATAATCGCAGCAGCGACGTTATCATGCCCAGCAATATGAGCAGATTCCAAAGCACAATGACCAGCTGCATCTCGGCATTCCGTATCAGCACCAGCAACAAGAAGGTGACGAACCGCCGAGACCTCACCGGCCTCTGCAGCGAGGTGCAGCGCCGTTTTACCGGCACCATTGCTTGCATTTACATTATCTACAAAAATACCTTTTTGATGAAGAAATACACAAATTCAATGTGATTACCACTTAAACAACAATACAGGCAGCTTTGCATGTTTTCGAACAGCTTAATGAAGAATCGAATGATTTCCTATTATT